GGTGTGCGTTTGGGTCGGCTTTGTGGAAGAATTGACGCCACGTCATGACCGACGATACGACAAGACGATGGCGACTACGATGCAGCGAACACGACCAGATCGACGGCACGGCAAGGCTACCGAAACGAACCTGATACGGAGGCACTGAGGCACGGAGGTTCTCGTTTTCCGTTATCGGTGCCATGCAACTCTTGCACTAACTCATGTGACACCGCATCACTTGCCTGTACTGATGACTGATAACAGACGAGTAGCGAATAAGAGAGAGACACGATGTCTGCTCGAATCGCGATCAGTTCCATTCCTTGCCCTGCAATGGCCATTTTGCACCAGGTGGGGCTTGAACAGTAGGGCTGTCCGTATCAACGATATCTGTTACGATAACAGACTTGCGACGAACGATTTACATCCACTGACCGCCACACATAATCCATCCTCGGTGTTACCCTCGCGAGGGGGGCATTGATCAGAGTAAATGATAGCATAGACAAGAATAGACAGTTTACTCCGGCGTTGCCTAACGAAGCTCTGGTAACAGGGTTGACAAAGCTTTTCATTCCTTTAAAGCAGACCTGTCTTAAACAAATTTAATGTGAGCACAAAACCAGGCAGAAGGATTGTGAAGGTACACGGCAGCATTAGTTCGAGGAGGAGGCAAGTAAAAATTGTTTTCGCGGTGCCATCTTCTCGTGAACAAAAAATGAACAACTCGTGACAAAGATCCGTTAGATTGATGCAATTAGGACGATACCATGGCATGAATCAAATAACAGCCTCCGTCACTTGGATGGCCAAAATCTGCAAAATCCGGATTAATAAATCCATCGAGAGTTGGCATTATGTCGTCATTCGTTTGAACCGAGGATGGCATCCGCCATGTCGTGTCACATATGCGCTTCCGAAACAAAAGATGAAATACTTTGTTCGTGCGTTGGTGGTCATTCTGAGAGAAAGCAGCATGCAAACTTTTTGATCATACAACGCAAAACGGTTGTCCATCGGGTAACAAACCGACACCGGCGTTTCGGTAGCTACCTCAGGGGGCTTTCCTCTTCAAAGATGGTGGTAGGCGGATGGCAACTGCTTGATACCGTATCATCAGAGGTATCGGAGACTTCGGTATCGACCTATCACGCCATAAACCACGATTTTACGTTGTATATAATAAAACAGCTTTGTGCTGGCTTATCACCAAAATAACGGCAGTGCTAAACATCTCTGGACAAAGAGCATCAAACAAAGATTGCATTAATGCCACTTTCAGGAGAAAATATTAGAAATCGATTACGGTACTCATCGAATAATAACCTGAATAATCTATCGAACGCTAGTTATCATATCAAAAATACGATGTGATTTATTTGTTTGTTTGTTGAGATCATCACCTCTAGCCGTTTGCTTCGGTAGAACGTCTGTAGTTTGAGATGTCAGTTCTATTCGTAGCTTTTCGACACTTTTGCCATAAAGCACCAGTTGCAGTATCGAGTATGGAAATAACCCTTTCTGAAAGCAGATCTGTTTTCACCTTCTTCCTCGATGTTGCATGCAGGCCTCCTGGTCGAATTCTGCCGTCTTTCGGCTCCCAAATTAGAAACTCATGAACTGGAGTGAATGTTTAGGCTCGCTCAACCATCTTGTCCAGTTGGGGCAACCTCCCTTTCATAAGGCTGAGGAAATCATTCTGAGATCATTTGCCGAAAGTCTGCAATCGTGTACTGCGAGTACTTCACGTACTCT